TGTGGCTCGGGAGGTGGAGCGGGTCGTCCACTAGTTAGAGGGTCAGTGGTTTGATCCCCAGCTCCTCCAGGCCACATGTCAGAGTATCCTTGGGCAAGATACTGGACCACTGTATGAGTGTGATGAATGAATGTGAGTGAATGGGTGAATTTGGCAAGTATTGTAAAGCGCTTTGAGTGGTCACTAAGACTAGAAAAGGAAAAGTCCATCCATTTACCATCCATGTGTTGTATCTGGACAGACAGAGATCTTTGGAAACGATGACATAGAAACCCATGGTCTCTTCTGATTGGCTCTCATCAGCCTGGACTACCAATGGTGAATATAACATGATAATGAATTACAGTGTTACTGACCTTGTTGTCTTTGTTAGCAGCTGCTGTTCAGTTACATTCTGTATTTTAATGCTACAACTACCTTTGCTGTTCCTCGTTCAGAGGATTTTCTTTAACTAATCAACTGCAGAGGAGACAATCTGCTTCCTGTTTACACCAGCTCACACATGCCCAGTGTACGTGAATGGTCATGTGATATGTTTTTTCAGGTGTGATAGTCTGGATGGAGATTGTTTCTGATATGGAGCTGGTTTTAGTTTTAGTCTTGTGAACAGATCCTTAATCAGTGAGTCAATGAGAGACAACAATCCAATGACTTGATTTTAGAGAGTGAAGGATAATGCTATCACAAGGTTTGTCCATTCCCAGACTTTCTTCCAACATTCTCAGAGATCCATCAGTTTTCTCTTGAAATCCCAACAACATATAATTTCTGTAGTCTTTCACAACAAAAACACAGCGTTAACGCATGTCCTAATCTGTTTATGATGGTGTGATGATTCAATCAAAATGTGGTGGTGAAGGTGGAAGGGTCAAACTCATTTGGTTCATTTGGATCATTGACATTATCTCAATTAAATTCATTAAGGCCTGTTTGAAGAGGAGTGTCAGAGCAACACGCACACACACAAATCCACATACCCCCACACAGAGAGAGAGAGAGAGAGAGAGAGAGAGAGAGAGAGAAACAAACACCAGCTGTCCACTTCCTGCTGTTCAGGAAGTGTCAGCAGCACGGAGACAGCCGCCCCCGTGCAGAGCTGAAGCCCTGATTGGCCACTGTCTCCTCCTTGGAGACAGCTGCTGTGCCAGAAGATAAAAGATGGAGAAGAGCAAATGGAAGCTGTTTATTTTCTCTCATCAGTTGTGTGCTCACTAACTGTAGTATTTAACATTTATGATGACTACAATATGACACAGGGTACATTTATTGGAGTGGTCTGTGTCTTGTCCAAATCTTTGACCTAACACCTGCATGTGTGTGTGACTTTGAGGAGCAGCTCTTCACACAGTTTAATAGATGAATGAATAAAGTATTTGCTCCAGAGTCTGTTTGATTGTTCTCAAGGAATTATTATTCTGTTGGTACAAAGCTCATTTATAATCATGTCTGGAGACACAGACATACAGAGTGATGCATACGTAGCACATGTAGTGTGTTGGTGGTTATTAGATATTACAGAATGTTAATGATTAATAATGTGTGTTTGTCTCAAAGCTCAACTGAATAAAGTTTCCCTGTAAACACGAGAGACAACAAAAACAATCCAGACACAACCATTAGTCCACGCTAGCATTGTTGTAATATGCTCCATAGCGATGCTGACAGTTAGTCCACTAGTGAAAGCAACATTTATGGAACACATTCATAATATCAGTAACAGCAAGTTAGCCAACGTTATCATGTCTAGTGTAGTCATGACTAATGAAAACAGACATGTAACATTGTGAAGCATCGAGTTACTGACACATAGAGGAGAAGAAAAACAGTTCTGAGTCCAGCTGGACCCTTTAGCAGCTCGTAGGGTTCTCCTCTCAGTAAAACCAGACCAGTATCTGCTCCACAGTCGGACTGGGAGAGAAATTCAGCCTTGGACTGATCCACTGGGACCGAGGTTGCAGGAATGACACTGTAGCAGCAGGTAGTGGGGAGGGCCAATGGTTTAACAGGAGAGACTCACATGCACATGAACGTGCACTAACATGCATGTGCTGCCAGACCAGCTACCAAACTAAGATGCACTGGGATGCAGTTGCATGGATATATTGTATAAATTAATATATATATATATATATATATATAAGCAATCTTTGCTTTTAACTAACAACACATGCATCTCAGCCAGGTTCATCACTTTTTTGTATTTTTGTCTGTGCTACTCGCAGTGTGTTTCTGTATTTGGTTGTGTTGTGAGTATTTGCAGCACATTTGTAGTCAAATTGATGAAGCTGTTTTTGGATTTGCTTCTGAGTGTTTTGTCTCTTTGCAGTGCAGTTGCAGTGTGCGTTGAACTCTCAGGGCCACTGTACAAAACAGTCCAGGTGAGGTTTAACTCTGTGACCACTTCTGAATCTGAAGGTTATAGTGCTATTTTGTATGAAAGGTGTTTGTGATATGTTTACATGATTGTCCTGGAGCTCTAATACATCACCAATACAATCTATGACCTCCAGACAAACTCAAAACAGATCTCTGTATAACAAGCAGCTGACATTTTGGAGCCTGGTAATTTTTCTCCGCTTTCTGCCTGGACTTCTTCAGAAGTATTATGTGTAAGAAGTCCACATTGGCTACATTTTTGTCCAGGCTCCAGCTTGATTTCCTGCCAGCTCTTGTGACCTGCCAAGTGCCCAATGAAGATCATGCTAATTTCCTTTCATGCCCTAGATAAGGCCTTCAGCATGCTATTCTCAGACAGGGTTACTACTCCAAACACTGACAAGTGAAACCATGGAAGTGGTTACTTTTTTTATTCTTTGCACTGAAGGAGTCACAGTAACTTTCACAGACAACCTTAGCAGAACTAGATCAAACCAATCTGAACAAGTAACCTGCAGGAGACCAGATTGTTGAGTCCTGAACAGCAACTTGTGTTGACTGCTGTTAGCGTACTGCCTCATGGTTGCCTGCTCCACTCAAATTTCAGGTTACATCCCTGTTTATCCAGAGTTATAGAAAATATCAACCATTTGTGTGAAATTTTGTCATAATTGCTGTGAAGTCTTGATTTATGTCCAAAAAGTGTTTTGTGCTGTCACTGTGATCTTGACCTCCAAAATCTAATCAGTTCATCCTTGAGTCCAGGTGAACATTTGTACCATTTTTTTTTTTTTTAAGTAATTTTTTTTGGCATTTTTGCCTTTATTCAGATAGTGAAGTTAGAGACGGACTGGAAAGTCTAGGAAAGTCAGGAAGAGAGAGAAGGGATGCAGCAAAGGGCCACGAGTCAGATTCGACCCCATGGCCACTGCAGTTTGGACTAATCCCATGCGGTATGCACTCTACCAAGTGAGCCACCATGCCGCCCCAATATTTGTGCAAAATTTGAAGAAGTTCCAGCAAGACTTTATTAAGATATCGTGTCCTTGAGAATGGAACGGACGTACGGACAGACAACCCAAAAACAATATTCCTCCGGCTCTGACTGACACCGTCACGGAGGCATAAAAATACTGGATCATCATCATCATCATCATCATCATCATCATCATCATCATCATCATCATCGTCATCGTCATCATCATTAAGACATGACAGTAGATCACTGGGGATGAAACTCATGTCCAACAACACACTCACACGAACATGTTACTAGAGGTCAGAGCTGTCGGCTGCAGCGCTCCATTACAGCACCTCCACACCACTGTAACAGCAGGTTACATTCTGTCTCATGGGCCTCCTCACCTTGAACAACGCTGACTTACTTACACACAACAGCAGCCTTGACAGATGTTACCTGTGCCTGTGCTGTACAGTAGGTAAATGCAAGGGAACATAAATCTGTGCAGGTTAGAGACTCATCAGTAGGTCCATCGTTCACATGGTGACCTGGGTTTTAAGCCTCATGTCAGCAGGTAACTGCACTGCTGAAGTGTCCTTGAGCAAGATACTCTATCACTGTGGGTTTGTACTGCAGGTGAACCTGACCTTTGACCTCCCTGTGGAGGGAGGAAACAGGAAACATCTAGTCATTCTGCTTCCCATTGGTTTGGCTGATCAACAGCTACTCACCTCACCTCCACCTCACCTCCACATCCTCCACCATCAATTTCTTGGCTGTTTGACAGACAGCTTCATCCCTGATCTCTACAGATATACAGTTCACACTTCCCTGACTAAACACTTTTAGTGCTGACTCAATATAAACAGACTGTAAAAGAATTCATTAGCACCAAGTAGTCCCTCTCACTTGCAACATTTTCCAGCTCCTCCTGGAGGATTCTGAGGCATTCCCAGATCAGATGGATATAGAATCTCTACAGCAGCTCTCTGTGTCACCTCACCCAGATTAGGGAAACCAGGACACCATCCTGGAGCCAGAGCTGGGAGGGGAGCTCGCCGGCAAATGTCTGGTGACTGGGTCTTGGCCCATCGGGCCCGGTCAGGCAAAGCCCAAAGAAATTACATGCAGCCACCTCCCTGTACACCCACCACCTGTAGGGACAGACATCAGGTTGGGCGGAAATGGAAGCCGGGCAGAAGGCTCGGTGGGGGGCCTGGGCGGGCCGATCCCTGGCTCTGTAGACTAGCTCTAGGTATGTCTAATGTGAATTAAGGCTACAAACAACCCATAATGCAACACACTCTACAAGAGCTAAATAAACCGGTTCGCTCTCCATTCAAAAACAAAAAAGTATCTGATAGTGTGAATATGTAACAGTCTGGTCCTCATAACAAAACCTCAGACATGATGTCATTTCCAGGTCTTATATTCTGACCTCATGGTATTTACGTGAGAAGAAGCTGACAGCATCGTAGCTGTATCCTCCACCCACAAATGGACGTTTTTGTAATTGATTAAATTTCATTCTTACCTCAAACCACTGTGTGTGCGTGTGTGTGTGTGTGTGTGTGTGTGTTTATGTGTGTGTGTGTGTGAGTGTGTGTGTGTGTGTGTGTGCGCGCGCATGTGTGTGTGTGTGTGTGTGTGTGTGGGTACTCACATGTAGTGCAGGTGGGGGTTCTTGGAGAACACACGAGTATGGATGGCATGCAGGTTGCTCCTGGTAACAGTACTGTGACACACACACACACACACACACACACAGAAAGGCAGGAGGAGTGAGAAGAAGAGCATTGATAAATAACTTTCAGCTCCATCACTGAAGAACAGGAACAATTACAGAAAAACACAAACACAAACAACAGAAGGCAGAGCAGGGATGAAGACAGTCGTTTATAAATCACATCCATTTTCAGAGCTGCAAACACCAGTTATTGATTGTGGATAAATGCTGAAGACGCTGATGAATGAAGACCCAGACTGAGGAGGATTCCATGTGACACCTGCCAACAGCATGTTGTTAACAGCATATTAATGAGAGCAGGGGCTTCACTCATGAAACTGAGCACAGGATCCAAACCACAAAAATGATCAGATTCATAAAACTGTGTGCACACATGCCTCCAAGGTAAGTTCCCTTTATGAATCACAATCAACTTGATAATGCGCCCTTTGGTGAACCTCATGTGCCGCCCAAAAGAATTTGGACCAGAATCTGATCCGAAAACTACTGAAATCACTGTTGGTGAAAGAGAATCAACAGCTCTCAGTATTCAAGAAGAATTTCTCCCGCGAACGTTGGGGACAGGTGAGACTGACTTCACCTGTCACCTGGCAGTGTCCAGGTCATTTCAGCTGCACTGTGGCTCCAAAACCAACCAGGACCAGGAGAGGGAGCACTACACAGACCGCCCCCCTCCTCTGAGCTGTGAGGGTCTGGGACTGTTAAGATGAGTCGGCACCATGAGTTCAGTGGTTTAATGGTTTAATAATGACTGAAAGCTGTAGAGGGTTAAGATCTTTATCTTTTGACGCAGACAAGTGCTTATTAGTGTGCACACAATACAACAATACAATTACCCAGAATGTTCATCACATTGTGGATGTATGATTATTGGTTTGATATGAAGTAAAAATAAACCTATGAGGAGGCTCATTATAAAATCTGGCTTCAGTTCACTACTTCACCATCTGTGTCCTTCCATCCAGTTTGTTTTTATAAAGCTCTATTTTCCACAGGAAGTGGCATACACACATTTCAAGTCATTTATGTGCAAACACAGTGTTCAAATGAGAATGCTGTTGTTGTGGCTGTGGGACTGAATGGGCTTGATGATGATGAGCAGAACACACAACTTACAGAAAATCTTTTGTAAGGGGTTATGAAACTCAAGCAAGAAAAATCTGCTTAAATTCCTTGGGCTAACCTTCATCATATCACATTTTTCTGAGCTACTGAAGGAAAACTAATGATTTAAACATTTGTTGTCACAGCAAAGTGTCTCACATATTTGATTTTTGATTTGAATATATTGGCTGAAATCAGAGACCATAAAAAAAAGTGACTTTATTCGCAACACTTCTCTCCGCATTTCATCAATGTCTCTTCTTCCTCCTGCATCTGCGACTGTCAGCGAGTGTGATTGTTTTTGTTAGCTTTCTGACTACAAAATGGAGGTCTCCTTCCAAAGATCCGTTCAGAGCAGTTCAGCAGTTGGAGAAGGCGCTGATATGGGTTACTGCGTCTGTCAATCTAGCTTGAAGCCAGGCATCTGCTCTGTCCAATGACAGCAGACAAGGGGGGCTAGGCTCTTCTGAGCCGATGCTGATTGGCTACGAAATGAGTAAAAACAGCAGAGACAGAGAAGGATCAGCTCTGTTTTGAATGATATAAAAAGGTTTTTTAGGCATCAAAATGATTCAGTGTGTTTTCTATTGTTTCTCCGTAGTTTTCTTTTTAGAGAGGTACATGAGCACCAGTGAAAGAATGAACTAAAAAGTCCACAGCTCCCATAATATTAGGCCTGGAGGCCTGAAACATCACACAGGACTTTTTGACAAGATATAAAAGAAATATCACGATTTTTATAGTTAAGTATAACCTAGTTATGGTTATCAAACATGAAATTTTTTAGACAAGGACTAAAAAATACAAAAATACCATGTATTTAGTTTAGGTTGGGGTTTAGTCTCATTTTTAACAAGCACATTTTCAGAAACAAGGGGATATTTTCCCCCCACCTTGACTGTACTGACTGTACTGTAGCTCTCTGTACACCTGTCTCAGAAATCAATTAATCACCTGCAGTTAATTCAAAATGCTGCAGCTAGGTTCCTAACTCCAAACAATGTATTCAGCTCAGCGTCTCTACACTAGCTGCCTGTTTAATTTAGGATTGATTTTAAAATTCTTTTAATAACCTGCCAGAGGAGATCGGGCTCTCAGAGTCAGTTCTGTTTTATCTTCTTCACTTCTTAAGACACATTTATATAAAAGCTTTTGTTGTGTGATGTCTTTTTAATTTTATTTTTATTTTACTTTGAATTGTTTGGATGTTTCATATTTTATTCATGCAAAGTACTTTGTTACTTGTATTAAAAGGGCTATACCATTATTATTATTTTTATTATTATTAATAATAATAATAATAATAACACCAAGAACATTCAAAAAAATATGCAAGATGCAATCTCTCTAATATTATAACTGTTCAGATAACAGTGCTCATTGTCAATCAGTACCTATACTTATGCATACACTGTGCATACAATAATGGAGAGATAGATTAACTCTGAGAATGTTGAAGGATATGTCCACATAGGCCCACAGTTTTTTCACTCACTAGACCAGAACTGTTTTATTCTACATTTAGACATGGGAGTGATTTATTAAAATATAAGTATATTAAAATATACCACAGAACATCTTAAGAAGTACCACAACCTGTAGGAGGAACCTCAAACTACATATTTCAAAAAAAGTTTTAGCAGCAGCACAGATCTGTCCAAACTGAAATATCTCAACTCCATCAATGATATCCATGTTCCCAGAGAAGCTGATCTTCTGACTTTGAGGTGAAGCAACTTATGACTTATCCTTTGGAAATAACGCTCATATTGGGAGGTTTGTGGCATTTCATCCATCCCAGACTCAAAGCGATGCTGCACTGCTCTTGAAGTGTGGTTTGTATACCTGTATCCACGCAGACTCAGTGTTGGAGGGCTTCATAACCCACTCCCACTTAAGTGTCATTGGTTTGGAAGGACACTTCATGGGGTGGACCCTCCACGAGAATGGAGTGAGAGTGGGTAGGAGGAGGGTGTAGGGGCTGGACTGGAATTTGTCCAAAGACTCCTTCTACCAAGTTAAGCACTCCATCCAGCTAATGAATGAAGGGGGTGGGGATTGTGTATGGTAGAATCACTGCCATAATAATTAGAAACATATCAGTGACTGAATACCAAATGTTGACATTTAATCACTGTGGAACTCTTGACATTGAAATTTAAGTAACAGAATTTATTTCACTAAAATATATGATCTGAACTTTAGGATCTGAATTTGACCAAGTGTATCTGAGCAACCTCTTTTTGAGTTTTTGATTTGATTTGAATCTTTCCACCTGATTTAAGCTGATGAAGCTACTAGAACATCAGGGAGGTGAATTTTCTATCAGAATTTGAGAAACCTAAAACATATATATATATAAAATATACTGAAAATAAAGTTGCAAGTACTTGAAAGCAGAAACTCAGACCAAGTTTTCAGTCAGTCAAACATTTCAGTACAGTAAATTCAGTGGTATTTAACAAGATTAAAGTATTCAGTAGTGATAAAATGTCAAGATGTGGTATTCAATTACTGATATCATTCAAAACCGTATTGAAAAATCTTGTGAAATCCTCCAAAATTAAAATGATACAACATGCATTCTTGTAAAGCAACAACAACTTTCTGACTCCCACAAACAGAAATCCCCCTCTTCAGTGGTGATGTGTTGTTGTATACACCAACTGCCTGATCGGAAGCTAATTCAAGGAATCCAAGGAAAACTATATTCAATTAAACCAGTTGAACAAAGTCCATTTTTACATATAAGTATGACGATCCAAAATTAATTTAAATCAGCACTGTAGAAACATTTTGTTTACCAATGTGGCACTTCATTTAGTGCGATATTCACCAGCAAAGGGCTAATACTGGACAATCTAGCATCAGTCAGAGCTTCTATTTGTATTTGATCTTATCTCATTTTTTTAGCAGATGCCCAATTTCTTATACAGTTTTCCAGTGATTAAAGTTATTTCTTTTGTCAGCACTGCATCTGTTTTACACTGCTGTGTCACAGGTATTAGTCTGATGCACAGCAATGGAGGGAAATCTTCTCAGCAGCCAGTGGTGATATACTGTAACATTACATCATGACACACAGAGACATGTGTTAATACTTACAGCCTCTCTAAGCCAGTGTAGAGCTCCATATCCACATCCCTCAAGGTCTGAAGACCAGTCCAGTTCTCAATGTGTCTGGAGAGAAGGAAAGAAAAGACATGTTGTTAGGGCTGCAACTGATGATTATCTTCATTCATTTATTACGAGTTTACTCAATTAAACACCAGAAAATAGTGAAAAAGACATTAATTAGATAACAGTCTTGTTTCGTCCAACCAACAGTCCAAAATTATCTCATTCGTCATTATAGAATACAAATAAAAGCATCAAATACTCACATTGGAATTTTTTTTCGGTTAATTGACTAATAATCAGTGCACTGACTAATCATTGCAGCTCTGTAGCAAGTCTTTATTGGCCCCATATTTGTCTGCCAAAGTAGGTAAAGGATAAAGTGGTCTACACGTTGAGCCTGTTTGCTTTGAATCCATTTGTTCGCCCACTTACATAATGTGGGCTAAAGACCAGGTCAAAGAAGTCTACAAATGGGCACTTAACAAGTAAAACTATATATATACTGTATATATATATATATATATATATACAGTATATATATGTAAACAAGTATTTTTCCTCTCTTTCCATACTACTTCCTTCCCAGTCTCTGACCTTACTATTGAATACTATCTGTCATACTGATACTAATGAAGCAGCAGCATTCAATACACAAGTTACATAATAAAAAATCAAGCTGTTAGCTATAAAAAGAAACTATAAATATTCACACAACAGCACACAATCAAACCACAGAGCAAAGGTGAGATTGTGTTATGTAGAAAATTGGAATTGATAAAAACCAGGCTGGTACAGGACTGACTGGTGTTGTATTCAGAGTATACACGCCTCTCCTCTGACAAAACATCACAGGCTGCAAACTGTTAAATCAAACCTTCCTGTGGTTCTCTCCCCTCTCAGTGCTCATGTAGACATGGTCTGAATTCATTGGCTGCAGTGGTTTGTTGGCCATGAAGGTTGTTTGTACCAAGGCCTTATGGGAGCTCAGGAGCAGAACCAGGGTCTGGATCCAGCAGAGGATGGCAACAAATCAAAACACGCAAATCACATCACACTGAACATCTGTCTCCCCCAGAGACCTCCTCCTGGCTCTCACTCTACGTGTGTGTGTGTGTGTGTGTGTGTGTGTGTGTGTGTGTGTGTGTGTGTGTGTTTGTGTGAGTTACAAAGGTATGCCTGGCAGGATCAGGTAGAGGTGCTGTTTGTCCATCTGTCTCCTGGAATTGATTCATCACTAAAGCACCTTTGCATGTTTTCTCTCTCTTTCTCTCTCTCTCTCTCTCTCTCTCTGTGTCTCTCGGTGTTGTGCCATCTGCAAACACAGTGCCACACGCACACAACTGTAAACATTCATATGTTGTACCACCTGACATTTAGACTTCAAACATACAGTACACTGTTATCAATCATTCAATATGACACCTGCTTTGAACGACTATAACCCTTCAGAGGTCTGGGGGCAAATAGGCTACAACTGCACCTTAAGCCCAAATGAGACCTCAAACTGACTGACGCTGCCTTCAGGGGCATACCTGTCAACTCATGCAGGGTTTTTTCTGCCTCAACAAATTCTGATTGGTTATATTCTAATAAGCATTTCACTTACTGGAATTCTGTCATTTGTTACTACAATTAAGGCGACACGCCACTATGGTGGCGTTGTATCCTAATCAGCGCAGTGCATTGGGAAAGGTGCTGTCAAAACGCCAGAGAAGAGAGGAGCTGCAACCAAGGACAGTGCCGCAATTTTCCTTCAGGAGAGAGCATCTGTTTTTCTCAACAGCAGGAGTGTGTGAGGAAGAGGTGCGCTGATATTTCGTGGCTGTTCGATATTGTTTCTTTTGCTTCTAAGTGTGTACAAATCTTAAACAGGTTTCCAATTATTAAAGTTACATCCCAATCAGAGATTACTGTAAGTCAACAAGGACAGGTAAAACAGTGCAGACATCACCTGATTATTATCGGCAATTAAAAAGTAATAATTCATGTTACTGATGAGATGTGAAGCTATTCTACTATATATCTTTATAAGAACATTGGATCAAATGACTGAATGTTTGAGTGGTGTCACTCATAGTGAAAATCCCACTGATAATTATCAGCAACTCTCTACAGCTTTCCAGGATCTTTTAGCCTCTTTCAGGTCATTGTTTTCTTCTTCTGTGTAGAAAACTCATCTACCTGGTCTCCACTGTCCTCTACCTGCTGAGCAGCACGCAGACTCAGTCAGAGAGCAGCTGGTGAATATAGTGGAGCATTTAGCAGCTGAAGGATCTGGTGGAGACCAAACACAGAGCTAAAAGAGAGAGAATAATGGACTGAGATTCATCATGTGACACAAACACCACTCCACGAGCAAGAGGTTCTGAGAGACAGCCATTAACCAAAACCGTCTGCTCTCTGGTAGTTAAGAAGTCTGATATCCATGAAACAAGCTGGTGGGGCAGATTAAAAACATTTATTAACCTTTCAAGCAAGAGATGAGGCTGCATTGTGTTGAATGAAAAGTCTGTGAATAAAAGCCTGGCATGGGCTTGAGGCTTTTCCAAATGCTTGTATAGGTTGTTAAGTATAAAAAGCTTGGCATCCTCCACCCCTCCCCCTCCTGGAAAGCAAATTGCAGTGGATCATTTTTCATTATGACAGAATTTTGTTCCTAATAATTTTCTCAAAAGATTTTCATACTTAATGATGTTAATGCCACAGATCTGAAATCATTAAGTTACTTAGGAATAGAGTTTTTAGGAACAGGATTTACAGTGGAGGATTTCCAAATAGCAGGGATTTTATTACAATCAAGTGACATTTCTCATTTTTTATGTGAGTGACAGAGCATATTGATTTGATACCCTGCCAGGAAGCCCACAGATCACCAAGTTGTATTCTATCTTATCCTTATAGGCTCTTTTAGCTTTCTCTATCTCATTCCTTACTTCTTTCTTGATTTCCTTCTTTTCCTGATTGTTCCCACTGTAAAAAATGATTTTTTTTTCTTATTCATGACACTTAGAAGGTAGACTGTAATGTTTTTACAGGGGATATTAGTGTCCACACAGAAGGATATGTAAGAGGAAACAGTGTCTGTCAGTTCGAAGCAAGGTTGTAAGCTGGCAATACTGTGGTCTGTCCAGCATTTCACCGTCTTTACTGTTCGCTCTCGTCGTTTACAGACAGGCTTGTAGATCGGCAAGAGTAGTATACTCTTGTGGTAGGATGCACTGAAAGGGGGCATGGGAAATGATCTGAAAGCACCGGGCACTGAACAACATCATGAGTCAATAGTGGAGTTTCTCATGGTTGTCGGTTAAAGTCCCCTAAAATAAACTCTGGAGCATCAGGAGAAGGGGAGTCCAGTATGTTGCTCACCTTTCGATCAGCTGAGTGACTGGAGAGACATGGACAGCAGCTCAATGCCGGGGGTACATGCTTCCTCCCGGACAACAACAGTGTTACAGTACCTCTCATTTATGTGAAAGCACACGCCTCCTCCCGTGGATTAATTTGTTATGAGAGGTGACCGGTCCAGTCGGACAGGATATCCAGAGCTGGTTACTTGTAAGTCAATGTTGCTGTCAGCTACTCCCAGCCATGTCTCAGTAAAGGCCAGCATGCAAGTTTCTTTGAACTCATGTTTACATCTGGCGTAAGCCTCGAGTTCGTCAATCTTGATAGGAATGGAAGCAGTGAGAGCCTGTTGCCAAGTCTATATTTCTTTAGTCTGCGCTGAACAGCGCCTCTCCATCCTCTTTTTCTGTGGTGCTTCTTAGACCGTACTCCACCTGCTGTAGCGTGTGAGATAAGGAGCAGGGGATGTGCAGAAAGTTGTCACCGGCAGCTAGTGGTCAGAGAGGCAAGAAGCAGCTCCCGGCTGTAGGTGATTCTGCCGCCTTCATGTTGCCCACAGGCAAATTGGCTCAAGATGGTCCAAAGTGCAGCAAATACCCCCCAGTAGTAAAAACTACTCCACATGAATTCCATGGCATTAAAAGTTCAAAAATAAAAAGTTATGAAAGCACACTCACACAGACAAACGTTCAACACACCAAACAACAAAACCTCAAGCTGCTCCCGGGTCGCACAGGTAGCGTGGGCGGCCCGGAACTTTAGAGAGTTAGCGCAGAGTTAGCATAAACTGTATTGTTCTCAAAGGGAAATTTGTCTTGGGCACAGTGCTACAGTCCAATGCTTCACATGAAATAGGATGAAACCATCACAGAAACACAAACAATTTGACACAATGCTAGAAAGTTGGTTCACACAAAACATCCCAAACACATGAAGAAACACCTGATTATACATTTTACACTGACAAGACAACACAACACCACAATGACAAAAACGAATAAAAATGCAAAAAAGTGCTGAGTGCTGAAGAGCCTGTGTATTTATATTTATTGCACTTTGGTCTAGTATCAGCAGCTTGATGGAGGCTGGAACAAACGATGGAGGTTGGAACAAACGATGGAGGCTGGAACAAACTTGTTCCAGTTTGTGGGAATCATTTTCCCACAAACTCTAGTAATCAGCCTAAAGTGTGTATTTTTGGAAGATAGAGCTGATTGCTGTAAAAATAAAAATAAAAACAATGAAAACAAGCCTGAAAAGTCATTACAGGAAAATCACAGGAGGAGAGGGAGGACAGTTGTTGTGATACTCATCAGCATATATACTGCTGTGTTCACTGGTGTGTTGTTTTCATTTTCTGATGGTCTGAATTCATTGGCCATGAAGGTTTGTACTGAGGCCTTCTGGGAGCCCAGCAGCAGGAGCAGGGTAGTGGCCCATTTTGATCAAAACACACAAACCCACATCACATCATTTTTTGGTCTGCACCTCATAAACCACACTGACATGTTCGTCTTATAACCCATAGATTTTAAAATGTTTTTCATATTTCACTTCAGCATCAGGTTCATGTTAACTGTGATTTTTAGTATCTTTATCATTGTTGCAGTTGATGCGACATATTTAATTATATTTAAATTTATATTTAATGAGCATAATAAATTCATTATTGATGAGGCTGCCCTAAACTGCCAGAATGGTGCATTATGGGATGG